GGCTGCTGCCGCCCGCCGGCCCCTCCTTCGTCGGTCTGCTCCCGTGCCTCCTGCATTGGCACCACACCCGGTCCCTCGCGCCTGTGGCCGCCTGCGCGCCCCTCTCCCGACGACTCTCGGCGGTCGGGCTTCCGACAAAGGGACGCAGCGAAAGGGGCTTCTGGCACGCTCCCTACAAAGGGAGAAGGAGGAGGAGGAGGAGGAGGAGGAGGAGGAGGAGGAGGAGGAGGAGGAGGACAGGCAACTTTCTGGGCAGTGCTCGGGGTGGCGGGACTCGCCGCAGGCAGCCGCACAGTGTTGTAACCTGCCTCGCTTCCTACAAAGGGACGCCGGCGAAAGGGGCTTCTGAGACCGCGGCGTTGCGTTCGAGACCCTGAAGAGTGCGAGCGAAAGCGTCATTGCGGCGACCTCGTGGGCGAAGCCGAGCGGACTTGAGAAATCTGCATCGCCCGTCTCAAAAGTTCCTTTCCCAAGGGTCCCTTTTGGAACCGCATTACTTTCCTCCGCCGCGGCCGCTCTCGTCTTCTTCTTCTTCGTCGTCTTCTTCCTGTTCTTCTTCAATCGTCCGTGCTCCCCGCGCTAGGCGCGCCCCACCAGCCTCGACCCTCGTACCCGTGACGAGGGCCTTCGAAGGCCCTGGGCGCTGCGCCCTACTGTTCGGAACCTCTATCGTTTGTTCCTCAGTTGGCCCTGTCTGCGGGCTGCGGGCTGGAGCGGTGACTGCTTCACCTCTCTGTTTGTCTCCTCACCGAGGAGTTTTCGTGGACTGCCTGACCTGACATGACCCGCTGGCCCCACGACGGCCCAAGAATGCCCCAAGAGGGCTCAAGAGGCCCCCAACACGGGCCAAGACGGCCCCAAGGTGAGCCCCAAGATGGCCCCAGATGACCCCAAGAGGACCCAAGAGGCCCCCCAAACAGACCCAAGAGAACCCAAAGAGAACCCCCAAGACGGCCCAAGATGGCCCCACGAGGCCGCCCAAACAATCCAAAACGGCACCAAACGGACCACCAAGAAGGCCTCCAGATGATGTCGCAGCGATTTTCAGCTTCACGCCTTTCCGAGCACAAGGGCGCCCAAGACGGCCCAGGAGGCGCCCAAGAACCTCCCAACAAGGCGGCCCAGGAGGCCCGCGAGCCACCCTCAAGAGAGCCCCAGGAGGTCACCAGGACGGACCAAGAGGGCCCCAAGACGGCCCGAGAGGCCCACAAACAAAACGACCCCAGAGGGCCCCACGGTGGCTCAAGAAGCACCCAAGACGGCCCCGAAAGGGCCCAAGAGGCCGACAAGACGGCCCAGAGAGCTCCACGAGGGCCCCGAGGCTGCCGAGAGAGAGAGAGAGAGAGGCCTCCGAGACGGCCTCCGAGGGCGCCCGACGGTCCCAGAACCCCCGAAGACGGCCCGAGATGGCCCCCGAGAGGCCCTGAGAGGTCCCCAAGACGTCCCAATAAGCCCCCAAGAGGCCCCCGACACGCCCCCAACAAAAATTCCCAGGATGCGCCCACTCACGCATACTTTACGCGGTCCGGACGTGCACCCCGACGAGCGAAAAGACTTGGTGCTTGGCATTGCTTGGCGTAGCATTGAATCGCTGCACATTTCTTGCGTTGCGTCTTGGAACCTCTTGGGGCACTCTTGGCCTGTCTTGGTGTTTCGGAGGCCCTGGGACCCCCAAGAGGGGATGCGTATCTGACCCCCCCCCCTCAGGGCCCCTCCTCCCGGGACCCCTCCTCTACCCCCCCCCAAGAACACCCCCTCTCCCGACGGGGGAGGGATCGAAGGGAAGGGGCTTCCATTCGACTCGACTACGACATTGCTAGATGTTTCTCGCTGACAGGCTTGAGGATGAGGGCGCAGGGAAACGACGACTGACGGAGACGACAACTCGAACAGGCAAGCCCCGTACACACGCCGACAGGGTCAGCGGGTTTTCACTACGCGGCATTGCTTGACATTGCTTGGCCTTCCTCGGCGTTGCTTGGCGTAGCTTGGCACTGCGTGGCGTCCCTTGTCATTGTGTTGTATTGCGTGGCATTGCATGGCAATGGTTTGCATTGCGCGGCACTGCTTGCCAATGCTTGGAACCGTTACTTGGAATCGTTGCTTGGCATTGCTTGGCGTTGCTGACATTGCTTGGTGTTGCTTGCCTTGGCTCGGCATGTTAGTGAGCATGGACCTAAAGCAATGAGTTGTTGCATGGTGAGGGTGGAAGCTACGTGGTGTACGCTCTGTGGTGAAAGAGATTCTGCCTAAGATATAGAATGTGAGCTATGGATGTGGACGCTACGCGGTGTAAGCTGTATGGCGAACGCTTTGTCGTGTAAGCTATGCCGTGCAAACTATAGGTGGCAACACTGTGGTGCAAACTAGATCGTGGATGCTATGTGGTGCAAGCCATGTGGTATGATCTAGAGATGACCGCGATCGGATGTAAGATGTGTGGCGTTAGCTATGCGGTGTACGCTGTGTGGTGCAAGCTATCTGTTGTAGGATCAACGCACGGAGCGCCCACGAGGCGCCCGCCCACGAGGCGACACGGGCGGCAACGCTGACAATCCACGGGGAACCCACCCAGCGCGTTGGGCGCCCACGAGGCGCCCGCGAGGCGGCAGCGCGGCGAGCCCTCGGGACTCCCACCCGGCGCGTTGGACGCCCACGGGGCGCCCACGAGGCGGCCACGGGCGGCAGCGCGGCGAGTCCACGGGAAACCCACCCAACGCACTGGGCGCCCATGAAGCGCCCACGAACCGGCACGGGCGGCAACGCTGCGAACATCCGAGCAACACATCCAGATTCCCGAGGCATTAGCCAACGTGGACCCCACACACTGCGTAATTGCACTGTGAAGGTGAAGTCTACGCGGTAAAATGTGTGGTGAAAGCTATGTCGTGTACGCTATGTGATGTGAGTTATTGAAGTGACAACTGTCGGTGCAAACTATGTGGTGCAAACTATGTCGTGTTAGCTACGCGGCGGCGGTGTGAGCTGGATGTGGAATCTATGGGGTGCAAACTGTGTGATGCAAGCTGTGCTGCGTAAGCCATGCGGTGTAAGCGATGTGGGGCGCCCACGAGGCGGCAACGTGGCGCAACCTCGGCACACACACAAACACACACACAAACACACACACAAACACACAAACACACACACACACACCACTTACAAACACACACACGCACACCAAGCGCGGGGCGCCCACGAGGGGGCACGGGCGGCAACGAGGCGCAACCTCGGCAGACCCTCCAGCGCACGGGGCGCCCACGAAGCGCCCACGAAGCGCCCACGAAGCGCCCACGAGGCGGCCACGGGAGGCAGCCTCGCCGCACCCCCCAAGCGCGCTGGGCGCCCACGAGGCGGCAACGAGGCCCGACCTGGGGACACCCCCCCAAGCGCGGGGGCGCCCACAAGGCGCCTACGAGGCAGCACGGGCCTGCACGCAACGTGGCGAAAGCCCAGAATGCCCGAAAGTAGACTGAGTAAGAACCCCAGCATGCATTGCAAGCGCTGCTGGGGAAATAGTTGAATAGACAACCCTAGATGCAAGCACATACTGGTGAATCGGTAGGAACCCCTGGGCGCAACCACTGCTTGGGAAATGTCTGCGCATTTCTTTGATTGCTTTGCATTGCTTGACATGGCTTGGCATCGCCCCACGACAAAGGGTCCAACACCTACAGGTTTTTCCAGAAGCAAATAGGACCCCTCAGACATTACCACGTTGGGGAAACTTTCACTGTTACAATCTGACCACGTCTCACACTGACGCGTCAGACGAAATTGCTAGACGAGGAAATCTGAGCGGCGGCGCGCGAAAACGACGAACGAAGCTGTCAGACGGAACTGGCAGAAGACAATGCCACAACGTCAGACAGAACAGTCAAACGGAAGTGTTAGACGCATCTGGCAATAACTGCCACACCGTCCATGGAACCACACGTCGGACACATGAGATCAACAAGCCTGACTTAGCACACTTCAGCGAATCAGAGAGACAACGTGACTGGGACACCGCACTTCAAGCTAACAACCGACACCTGCATCACTCAACTACCGAGTCCCGGTCGCATGAGGCCAGCATACGACGAACGTAACTGAACACGCATGCCTGGCGGAAGCTGCAAGCGACCATGGCACAACTATATAATAGGGGTCATTCCAGGACGCTCGAGAACATACGCGAAGGACGGACACACTGAGCAGACGTTAAGAGGGTGTGCAGCATAATTAGGGGGCAAACAAACCTACCTCGCTTTTGACCACCCTCGCTTCCAAGAGATACCAAACGATGCCAAATTGCAGGCTGTACTGGTCAGGTCGCTTGACGAGGAGGCGCGTGGTATGACTTGGTTTTGCCTGGAAGCGAAAGCGGGGTAGGTATTTCACGCTCTGAATAATGGCATCCTTGGGTGGGGATCGCTCGATGGCGCTGTTTTCGCCTTCGGAGACTGACAAGCACCAACGAAAGGCTCGACGGGCATTGCCTGGATGGACCGCTCGCGGCGTTACCGCGGGCAGCCCCGCCCTCGTTTGAGGCGTACGGGGGCCAGCGACTGACATTCTCTGAGACAAGTTGCAGGACGACATGCCCCAAGTGAGGTGTCGCAGCGAGCGGCCACGTCTCCAGCCACGGTGGGCGCCAAAACGCAGCCGTTGGGCGCCACGGGGTGGGCCCTGAGGCCTCCTCTCCAGGGTGCGTCTGTTCTGGGGGTACGTTCAGCCTCCCGGGGACTCCCCTGAAGAAGGGGCGCCGATGACAGCGCTGGAAGAGTAACATGGACCATTGCCACGACAGCGGGACACAGGACAGTGAAGGTGGCTGTGGCGGTTGAGGTGGGGGGGTGGGGCCGGGGGGCAGCGGGGTGGGCAGGAAACGCAGGCCCAGCAAGCTCGAGGCCAGCACACAGGGCGCAGATCGGAACACAGGGCGCCAAGGCTGACGCGCCCAGACGGGCGGGGGGAGGCTGCCGCGGCGGCAGCCCCGCCACGGTCTGCCGACCGACCTATACGATGGCGTCGTTGTCCTCCCACGTGAAGCCCCTGGAGGGCTCGACGGCGCCTGTGTGGTTCCGCGGCCAGGTGAACTCTCCGTCGTACCAGGAGTCGAAGTCGCACACGGGCTGCCCTTCGGTCAAGTCCGACTCGGACCCGTGCTTCTGCTCAAACATCGCCATTGCCGCCGTCAGCCTGTCCATGCACTTTTCCTTGTCGTCCCTGCCGTCCCAGAAGCTGACGCCGATGCCCTTGTCTGTGTGGGTGTTGTACTCTCGCGTCACAGAGATGTTGACAAACCATTCGCCAAAGTTCGGCTTGATGCCCACCAACTCGTCCAGCATGATCTCCCCGGCGTCCTCCACGGAATACACGCAGTCCGGGGCTCCAGTGGGCTCACCTTCGCACCGCCCGCCTGGTTCGGCGGCCCTGCACTCGTCGGTCTTCGCCTCGTCTGGGCTGTTCGCCACCAAGTGAGTGTCCAGGCTGTTTTCGATGCCGTGATCCTTCTGGTGCTCGGTGATCGCTTCCAGGCTAATCTTCTTCAGCGGACAGGCACCAGGCAATGAATACCACATCGGCGATCTGCAGCTGAGCTCGGGGGCAGAGCATGCTTTCTCGCTCATAGTGTCCTGAAGCGCCTCGTACCCCGACCTCCCTGGCGTAACCGACTGGCACCCAACGATGTAGCCGTAGGCGCGATAGACGTCTTTACAAGATGGTGTCTGACACCTGGCCATGTCGTAGGCCATGAAGGGACCGAAGTAAGTGTGGTGCACGTTCCAGAACTCCACCACTGGCCGCATCTTGATCTTGTACCGCCTGATCCTGTCAATGCCGTACTTCCGGATCGGTGCGCCCACGATCTCGTTGTGTAAGTACCACATCACCCCTGGCAGATCGCCAACATTCACATTCTCCAGTGGATAATCGGTGTCGCCGGTCGCCCGGTACAGGTAGAATGTTATCGGCTTTGGCCCGTAGTGCTTGGGGTCCACGTTGGCGGCCTCCTTGTCTGACTCTTCGTCGTCCACGGACGCCTCCTCGTCCACGGACGCCTCCTCGTCCTTGTCCTTCAAGGCGGTCTTCTTCGCGACCTTGGAGCCAGCGGGAAACTCGTGCTCGAGCGGCGCGTCCAGGAGGATGGAGCCCAGCTCCACTATCTTTTTATCCTCCGAAAACTCGTCGCCGTTCGAGATGGTGATGCTGTCTCCCACCTCGAAGCCCTGCGAGGACTCTACCTGAGCGACGAAAACAAACGGGCCTTACGCGAGAAGACTTAACCAACTACTCCTGATAAGAACACCCGGGGAATCATCAAGTTCTGGGTCCCGGAGGAATAACAAACGATGTATCCTGGCAGGTCGTGCGTGGGATGTATGACGAGGAAAGAAGAGGTCGTCGTCGTCGTCATCGTCGTCGTTGTCGTCGTCATCGTCGTCGCGTGAAGACGGCGACGATCACGACGACGACGACGAGGACGACGACGAAGATGACGACGACGACCTGGCCCTGCCACACGTTCGTGACTTCGGAGGGGAACAAGGGAGGGGAGGGGAAAGGCGGGTGAAGGGGAGGGGAGAGAGGAGGGTGAAGGGGAGAGGAGAGAGGCCCCAGCACCAGTCTTCCCCAACAGAAACTGACTCGGGTCATTGCGTCTTTCATTTGTAAAACCAATTTCTCCCAACCATCCTGTGGTGTTGGGTCCTCGTTTTGAAGAAAAAGTGCCCCGCATTCTTCTCTTCTCCTCTCCTCTCCTACTCCTCCTCCTCCTCCTCCTCCCCATCCGTGCCTCTGCTCTCCGACCAGTGCTGCGTTTCGTGGCCCCATAGGGAGCTCCGCCGAAGGTCCCAGTGGCGAAACTCGCATGCGGTTCCTGCGCCCAGTACAGCGTTTCGTGGCCACATTGAGAGCCCCACCGAAGGTCCCGATGGCGGAACTCGCATGAGGTTCATGCGCCCAGTGCTGCGTTTCGTGGCCACATAGGGAGCTCCGCCGAAGGTCCCAGTGGCGGAACTCGCATGCGGTTCCTGCGCCCAGTATGGCGCTTCGTGGCCTCATAGGGAGCCCCACCGAAGGTCCCGATGGCGGAACTCGCATGCGGCCCCTGCGCCCAGCATGAGGTTTCGTGGCCCCATACGGAGCTGCAGCTCCACCGAAGGTCCCAGTGGCGGAGCTCGCATGCGTTTCCTTCGCCCAGTACAAGGCTTCGTGGCCGCATTAGGGAGTTCCACTGCAAGCTCGCATGCGGTTCGTGCGCCCGGTACAAGTTTTCGTGCCCCCATCGGGAACTCCACCGAAGGTCCCAATGGCGGAACTCGCATGCGATTCTGGCGCCCAGTGCAGCGCTTCGTGGCCCCAAAAGGAGCTCCACCGAAGGTCCCATTGGCGGTAGTCGCATGCGTCACCCCCACCCAGCACAGCGTTTCGTGGCCCCAGAGGGAGCTGCACCGAAGGCCCCAGTGGCACCGCCTGCATGCGTCACCCCCGCCCAATACAACGTCATAGGGAACTCCACCGAAGGCCCCAATGGCACCGCCCGCATGCGTCACCCCCACCCAATACAACGCTCCTTGGCCACATGGGGAGCTCCACCGCAAGCCCCAGTGGCACCGCCCGCATGCGTCATCCCCACCCAGTACAACGCTTCGTGGCCACATAGGGAACTCCGCCGAAGGCCCCAGTGGCTGCACTCGCATGCGGTTCCTGCGCCCGGTACAGCGCTTCGTGGCCCCCAAGAGGGGCTCCACCGAAGCTCCCATTGGCGGTGTTCGCATGCGTTCCCCTCCCCAGTACAACACTTCGTGGCCTCATAGGGAGCTCCACCGAAGCACTGGCACCGCCCGCATGCGGTTCCTGCGCCCGGTACAAGGTGTCGTGGCCCCTTAGGGAATTCCACCGACGGTCCCAGCGGCGGAACTCGCATGTGTTTCCCCCACCCAGTACAGCGCTTCGCGGCCCCACAGGGAACTCCACCGAATGCCCCAGTGGCGGCCCGCCCCATGGCGGCACACCTCTTCACACTTTTCGCGGCCCCGTAATGCGTTCCGCCTAAAACACCACTGGCAGCGACCACATGGCGGCTCCGCCCGACATCGGCGCACCCTTCGCATGCTTCGTGGCCCCATGAGGAGATCCCCCGACGGCGATACCCGAAGCGACGGCACTCACAATCGCATGCGGTTGGGTGGTTCGCCAGGATAAGTCCTCCCAATTATCCTGTGGTGTTGGGTCCTCGCTCGAAGAAAAAAATGCCCCGCGTTCTTTTCATCACCTCTCCTCTTGTTCCCGCTCATACACCCTCCTATCATGATCGGTATCATCATCAAAGTCGGCATCAATATCATCAGCATCATCAGTATCAGGAAAATCGCAGACATCATCGTAATCATCACCATCATCATCCTCGTCATCCTCATCAGTGCGTCTGTAACGCCCAGTGCCGCGTTCCGTGGCCGCATAAAGAGGGTTCCAACGAAAGTCCCGTTGGCGGAACTCGCATGCGTCTCCTGCGCCTAGTGCGGTGTTTCATGGCCCCGTAAAGAGCTCCACCGAAGGTCCTTGTAGCAGAGCTCGCATGCGGTTCGTGCGCCCATTACAATGTTTCGTAGCCTCATGGGGGGCCCCACCGAGGGTCCCGCTGGCGGAACACGCATGCGACTCGCGCGCCCAATGCAACGCTTCGTGGCCCCAAAGGGAGCTCAACCCAATAAAATGGTGGAAATCGCATGCGGTTCAGCTGCGGCTCTTGGGCCCAATGCGGTGTCTCGTGGCCCCATAAAAAGCTCCACCGAAGGTCCCAATGGCGGAAGTCGCATGCGGCCCGTGCGCCCAACAACGCTTCGTGGCCCCATAGGGAACTCCACCGAAGGTCCCGTTGGCGGAACTCGCATGCGCTTCCTGCGCCCAGTGCGGTGTTTCGTGGCCCCATACGAAGGTCCACCGAAGGCCCCAGTGGCGGAACTTGCATGCGGTTCCTGCGCCCAGTGCGGCGCTTTGTGGCCCCATATGTGGATAGCTCCACCGAAGGTCACAATGGCGGCACTCGCATGCGGTTCCTGCGCCCATAGCTCCACCGACGGTCCCGATGGCGGAGCTCGCATGCGGCTCCGGCGCCCAGTGCGGCGCTTCGTGGCCCCATATCTAGGAGGCTCCACCGATTGTTTCACTTGCGGAACTCGCATGCGGCTCCTGCGCCCATCACACGTTCCGTGACACTTTAGCTTGGGCGCGGGCAGTCCGTAGCCAGACCTTCTCGCTGTCCAGAAGACTCTCGCCCTGGGCCGTCGGCTGTCCGGCGCGCTGTTCCCTCCGCCGGCGTCGCCCAGGCGTGATCCTGGACTCTGGCCGCCACGAGGTCGGGAACGGCAAGAAGGAGGACGACGACTGGTGGCTGGAGCTCTACGCGCTGCTCTCGCGCGCAACGCGCCACGAAGAACACCTGCTCATGCGGGCGCCGCGGATCGACTTCTTCCTGTCAGGGCCGCCGGAGAGCTTGCGGAAGTAACTGGAACAGTTTGCGGCGCGCACGAATCGGTGCCACAGGGAGACGACGGACCCTCGCCAGGGAGCTGGGCTTCACCGAGTTTATCCGCGAGGCCTGACCAGGGGAGCGGCTCGCCCGAGCCTCGCCTTCTTTCGGCAGTCTGACTGTGTGGCCCCGCGCCGCGGACGACCCGTGCGTGTCGTTGGAACCCTCTCGGAGCGACCAGCGCGCTTCGCGGGAACTTCATGCTGCGCTCTGCCCAGCGCTTCGCTCGCCTGTCGTCGCTCTGCCCAGCAGCCAGAACCTTGCCCGCAATCGGCCAGCAAGCTAGCTCCCGTTGCTCCGCACAGCGGACGACCCGCGCGCGTCGCTGGGACCCCTTCGGGGCGACCAGCGCGCGTCGCGGGGACTCCGCGCTGCGCTGCGCCCGCCTCGGGTGTTGCAGTGCGCGGGCACAACTGGAGAAAAAAAAGGGAAGGACAATCTTGGACAGTCTAGATTTTCTCGCTAGTCCCTATTTGTCAG